TCTTGGTCTTAGGGTAATAGCATTCATTTTTTCTTACACACACATACACACACACATACACACACACACACACACACACACACACACATACATACACACACACAGTAGTTAACTTTTAGCAGGTTAATGAAGTTTCTAATAGCTGCTTTCCTGAGTCACTCTCCCTCTCTTGTAAAGTACTTGGGTTTGGTCAAATGTTTTTTTCTTCATGTGCAGAAATGAGGTTATTCTTTTTGATTTTTTGGTTTGTTAGTGTGGCAGCTTGTGTGGACCTACTGAGGAACAGTGAATTACCCTGTATTTTGGGGGTCGGTCTAATGATATAGCAATCTGTACATTCAATTTCCTAGTTTTATCCAAAGGTTTTGTGTTCATGTGCATGAGGGATTTAGTCTAGTTTTCCTGAAATGTTTTTGTGTTACTTTGGTAGAATATGTTGTTCTTTTAAAGCCAGATGAAAAAGACCTGCCATTCCTGGAAGAAGTTGAAAAGAACTGGTATTGTTGGTATTGCTTTTCATTTAATTATTTGATAGAAATTGCTATTGAAATTATCAACATCTATATTTATATTCTGTTTCTCTGTCTCTCTCTCACTTTCTTTTTGAAGCAGGGTCAAATATATTCCAAGGCATTTTTTTATGTACAATTTTTAAATTTTTAAAAAATTTTTAAACCTCCTTTTACAAAATTTGAATACTTTTCATACTCCACTTAAATATATTTTATTACATTTTAAATAGATCTTTGTATAGTTTTTCTTTAAATCTGACATTTTAGTGGTTGCTTTTTGAGATGACTTCTTTCTCTTTTTTCTCATCCCTCCTTTCTTCCCCTCTTCCTTTCCCACCCCCTCTCTCCATTGCCCTTCATGTCCTCTCCCTCCTTCTCTTTCCATGTCACCATAAGATGTGAAAAATGTTACTATAGTCTTTCTCCTAAATGTGTTAACATACTTTGACACCTTCTCCGGACTATGTTGTGATTTTACTTCAACTGTCACATATATTTTAAAGAGTTTGTAGGCTTTTTATTTGAATATTTTTTCTAACTGAAAATGCAGATATTCACAATTTACATTTTTTTCTTCCACTTCAGGGTTGCATACTTCTTTTGGTATTGTTTCCTTTCAAACTGAAGAACTTCCTCTGTTGTTTCCTGTAGAGCAGGTCTGTTCATGATTGATCTGTTTATTTTCCTGTATTTGTGAGTCAGTTGTTTTTACCTTCATTCCTTAGTGTTGTTCCTTGGTGTAGAGTCTTGCATGACAGTTTCCTTCAGCCTTGTAATATTTCCACTACTCCTGGCCTATCTATCTGCGATGAAAAGAGAAATCTACTGCCCATTGAATCATCACCTCTACCTCTACATGTAATGTGTCAAATTTCTCAGGCATTCAAACATTGCTTTTGTAGCTAGTGTTCACCATTGTCTAGGTGTGAGTTTCTAAGCTATTTTCCAAACAGAATGTTTTAAATTATTTCTTTGGGTATTTTTTTTTTTCTGGAACGATACTCTTTCTTTTATTTATCTTTTAATATTTTAGAGACTTTGATGAACATTGGAGTTTGAATATTGTTTCAGGTTATATTAATTTCAAGTTTTCTTTTTGCTCTTTTATCTTGGAATATTGCTAATTTGAATTCATGTTTGTCTCTATTTTGAGTCTATTTGGCTGTTGCACTTTTGGCTATTGTCGTTTCCAGTTTTACAATTTCTGTTTGGTTTTCTTTTATAACATCTATTTCTATGCTGATACCTTTTCTGAGTCATTCATTTCAAGGCACATGGTGTTACATTTTTATTTTATTTTTATTTTCGTGAGTGTGGAAGTGGTTTGGGACATCAGTATGTTGCTCAGGCTGCCTTTCCTTACCATCCTCCTTCATTCACCTCCTGAGTTTTGGGATTGCAAGCATGCACTGTAATGGGATATGCTTAAACCCAACATAACTCAAACACCAGGTCAATACAGATGACAAAGATTTATTGTAATCAAGCCACTACTGATTGATCAGAGCCACAGACAGACTCGGTAGCTGAGCTGCAACTCTGAGCCAGAATATCACACAATATTTAATTTGTAAAACATAAATATCTGTGCCAAGTTTTTAATATTCTTCCACCAATCAGGGTAGGAGTTGGTCCCTGGGTCTCAGCGCATGAACTTGTTTGACTCTGCCAGCAAGATGGAGAAGTTGTCCTTGAGATGGCTGAACTCAGACAATTGTCTCCTTACAATAGAAGCTGTTCAGCTATTGGGAAGTCCCCAGCCCCCTTAGGGCCTGAGACCTTGAACTTAGTTTTTCCCTCTGATTGAATGGAGTCTGAAAAACAAAAACAGCAGTACTCAGAACAAGTTTCTTTTGCATGTTCCCAACAACTTCACCATGCTTGGCTTAGCTTTTAGATATTTATATAGTCAGATATGTTATTTTCTTCTCACAGAAACTTATGAGATTGATTTTATCATTCCTATGTTAGAGGTAAAGAAACAGAAGATCAGAGTCTAACTGGAATGTTGTACCATTTTATCATTTCTCCTTTTCCCATTTTACTCTCCTCTTTTATGTAAGCAATAGTCTCCCTCCCATATATAATGTTGTATGCTATAGCATTTCTGTTTAACAATGTATCTTGGAAATGTTTCCCAAATGAGTACACCAAATGTTCTTTCTTTGTTATGTCTTTGTAATACTCCACTGAGTATGATTTATTTAACCATAGACTGTTGACTTTAGTAATTTAAATTAACAATGTACAGTTTGACCTCAGGAACTTTTTGAAGTGTTTTAAAGATACATAAAATACATGTTTCATATGTGTGCATAGTTTGGTTATGGAACCAAAAAAAAGTTCCATAACCATCATCAGTGAGTGATGATTATTATAAAAACATTATTTTTAGTATCCCAGAAGAGTCCTTCATTGATATTCCCAAATGCCACCCACTTTTCCTTTCCACCAGGTAACTGTCATTCTAGGTCATTCTAGACTCATTTCAAGTCCTTTTCTACCTGTGCTTCTGTCATTCCTGACTACAGTTCTGAGGAGGGGAATCCCCCTTTCCCCTGTGCAAGGCAGAGATTCAGAGCATGAAGCAGAGAAGCAAAATGTGGGGATGGTGAGAAGACTTTGAAAACATTTAGCTGTTTAAATAGAATGGTGTTGCTTGTTTTGACACAGGATATTACTTTAGAGTGTAGGTTCCTGCCTCTTTGGAGTTAGGCTATCTTTTTTTGTTAGCCTGCTCAGAATTCAGATCAGTGAATCAAAATGCCAGCTATTTCCCCTAGTCAGTGAGGTCTTCGTGGCAGATCAGGTTGTTGGAGTCATAGCAGGATAGGAGCCCAGCTTTTCTACTGCTGTTGTGAACTTTGGACTTGTGTACAATGGTGTAGATTAAGAGTTTTGGCTCCACATATTAAGTTATCTAGGTCAATACTTGCTTATACAATTTGGTCTCAATGTTAGTAAATAGGAATTCCCACTGACCTGTTCTCAGGGACCTAGCAGCAGCTTATATCATCACCTGTTGCTTCCAGGTACCCCAGATGTGCTAGGCACTGCACATAAAAGCCTCTCTCGCCATCCTCTATCAGCCCTCTGCATTCTTTCATGTGAATCTCTCCCATTTCCTCACTGTGTCTCCCTGTTTGTCTGTTTGCATGTCTGCCTCTATCTCTCCCTCATGTCTCCACTCCTAGACCATTACCTTTCTCTCTCCTCTCCCCCAACGTAATAAACCCCTTATGCTAGATCTGTTTTGTGGCATAATTTCTCAGGGGTATATTTTGCCATGGGCCTGCCAAAGGTACCCCATCTGTTGCTCACATTTCATTCTGTGAGTAAATATCACTTCATGTAATAGCCTCACACCTTATTTTGTCAAATTTCAAACACGAAAAAGTTGTGAAATTATAGATCATTGTAGATTCACCAGTTAATGTTTTAAATTTTCTGTATTTTTCTTTTCCTCCCCAAGCACTCTTTTTTTAGCTGCAGATACCACCACATAGCATGTTAATATGCTTTGGTAAGCGTCTTCTTGTTAGGACACTCTTCTAGAGAGTTGTTTTCTGATTTTTCCATAGTTATAACCATATGCAATATACATATACATGTGTATACAATATACATGTGTATACATATATGTATACGCACACATTTGAGAGTCCTTCATTGTGCTTATTTCTATATAGTCTTGTTTCTATAACCTCTGTTTGTTTAGAAGACTACCCCATCATTTTCACTAGATTCTCATTACAGATTTTGAAGAATTCAGGTCTATTGTTTTGCATAGTCCATCAACTTAGATTCTTCTGACTGACTCCTTGATGGGATTTGGGTTAATAACTGCAGACTGGAGCACTTCAGATGAATTGTTTGCTCTCAGTGATTTATTTCTGAAGGCTTGTGACTTGGCTTTGATCTATCAGTGGTGATAAAAGTTATACTTTCTTGATTAAGTTTGGTATTTGTAAGATTCCAGATTGCCAAGTTCCCTTTCTTTTGGAACTAGTAAGACATCTGTGGGGGATTTGTTGATCTTGAGTGTTCTGTTCTTTGGTGATCTGCCCTTTGATGCCATTTAAAGTGTTGATGATTCTTATTTAAGTCATTATTACTGTAAAAGTTATGTAACATTGACTCCTATTGTCTTGTTTATTAACTGATTTCTCTTCTGAAGAGATCTTGGTCTCTTTATTTCTCTCTTCTTTCCTTCCATCTAATCCTCTCCCATCCCTCTTCTCCTTTCTATTCCATTCCCCTCCCCTTCCCTGTCCCCATCCATGTCCTCCCTTTTCCCATTGTTATGGTGTCATGTTTTCTTTTTCACTTGTTCATTCCTGTTATCACTTTGATGCTCAGATTGTCCTACATTTGGCCAGTGAGAACCACCTGCTCTGGGGATTGATATCCTTGCAGCCAAGGTAAGCTCTCTCTGGCATTTGGCCCAGCTGCTGTACGTCAGGTGATTGTCTTGCCCTTCCTTTGCAGCAAATCACAGAGCTGAAGAAGGAGAACTTCAATCTAAAGCTCCGTATCTATTTCCTTGAGGAGAGGATGCAGCAGGAGTTTGCTGGCCCCACAGAGCACATCTGCAAGACGGTGAGTAGCCACTTCTGGCTACTCTTTGCTCATAGTTTTTCCCAGAAGACATTTGACTGGTATTTGTTCTCAGGGTTAGTATGAGTAGCTGGAGCTTTTGTCATTTAATTTGGATTGATTATTGGAAGTAGAATGATGTGAGGGCAACCCTCAGTAAACAGGTGTATGATTTCAAGGAGGTCTTTTAATCTTTTTGACTCACAGTTAATCTCAGTTTTTTTTTTTTTTTTTTTTAATAATTATCTATTATTTTGAAATGGGCAGTGGCATGGTAGAATAGCTTTGGAATTGAATGCTAGTGTTAGCAAAACAGTGGTGACTAGCCAGTCACCCTGCCCTCTGGGCTTGCTTCCACAGTGAAGTGCTGTTTAGATGAAACTAGGATGACAGTTGCAAATGGGGTGATGGGTGAATGGCTCCAACAAGCAGTCAGTGCTGGCCAGTCACCATCATTGGCTTATAAACTTTTGGTCGCTCAGAGTTAGGCTGGTCAGATTTCCTGCAGTTTGACTCTTAACATCCCTGTGTGCTTGCTTAGGACTGTTAGAAGTCTCTTCTCATTTGAAGTCTTAACCTGGAGGTCTGTGTCTGTAAACAAACTTTGTTTCAGAAAGTTGCAAGAAGAATTTGGCTTTCTAGAGCTGCCATGAATCCAAACAGTACAAAGGTACCTATTTCTTAGCCTTTGCTGGTAGATTAGCCCCTGGCCTGGGAATTATTCCATCTCCTCTCCTCTGAAGTTTGTACTGGTGGAAACTTTTGAAGGGAGGAAAGGAGTGCTCCTGGAGTTTCAGTGGTGGGTGGTGGGGGCCCTATACAGGCTTTCTTGAAAAGGGATCATACTGTGCTTCTGAGCCTTTTCAGGAGCTAAAAAGCTTCCTTGTTCCTGAAGGCAGTTTTCCTGCAGTGTCAGGGTGGAAAGACAAAGAAGATGCCCTTTTCTGGAGGCAGTGGTGATGCAATGAGAATTGCAAGGGAACCAATAGTTAAAGCACACTGTATCCACTGTGGGCAAACATCTCAGGACATCAGGTGGCAGGACATCAAGCTGTCTGCTGCCCGCTGGGTCCACAGCTGTTTGGAGCTCTTACACATTGGTCAGGGTTAGGATTCTCAGGACAGTCCCAGGCAGTAGAGATTATCCTAGTCTTATAGTGAGGAAACTGAGGTTTGGGGATTATCAGTAACTTGCCTGCTGTCAGGGTGATATAAAATGGGTTTTGAGCAGGCTGCCTACCTCAAAGTACTACTTCGTCTTCTCTTTTTCATTGACTGGATGGCCTGGTTTAATTATCTCCTGCACCAAGCTTTTGTGTAGGTATGTATGGTTCAGGTTCAGAATTTAAAAAATACTAAAATATGTGTCCTAAGAAGATATTCTACTCTGATCCCTGGGTCCCTGTATCTAACCAGTGTATGTTGATGCCTTGTGTAGAGGAGTTTTATAGTGTCAAACCCCCCTTTACATAAGTGCCAGCATATTCTGCTCTGCATTTTTTCAGTTTTCATTTAATGATTTCTTAGATAGCTTTTCCAATAGTAGTTTAAGAGCTGTTTTAGTCTTTCTATTATAGCTTTAAAATAGTCCATTTTGTGCTTTGAAGGCATTCTGACTCTTGGTGTAGAAATGGCTGTCATTCTACACACATAGTTAGAACTTGAGATACTATGCATGGGGAACATAGGCATGCTACTGTTAATGTTTGTTTCATGCACAAGCCTCAGCACTACACTGCATCATTCTCACCCCCATTCTGCCCTGTGGGAACTGGTGGAGGAGCTGAGGCACACATGAAGACATTATGCACTGCCACTCAGGGTCTTGTCTGTTATGCAAAGGGATATTTGTTCTAGAGAAAAATTTTGCCTCAAAGGTAGACTTCTTGAGCTCCTGTCTGACAGTAAAGAGAGCAGCAAAGGCTTCTCTCAATGTTTAATTGGTTCTCTAGTCCCCACCTTGTTCCTCTCTCAACATTGTTGGTTCTGGACAGTCGAAGCTCTGCTTTCTCATCCCTGGGACTTGTCATTTATGGATAGGCACAGGGTCACACTGCCAGCAGCTTTACTCTGTGAAGACAGAGTCTGGGTCTGTCTTACTGACTTAAGTGTCCTTAGTGCTAGGGTCTGTCACCACTCAGGTGTCTCTGAATTAAATAAATGAGTTCATTTACTTGCTGCCATCTCCTCCTGGGAAGGGGCCCATGTCCTTTAGACCCCACGTCCACGGTCTTTTTGTGTGGGCTGCACCATTGACTGGGCTGCTCTTCTCCCCAGGGCAACTTGGCAGGAAGGAAGGAGGCATGTCCTTTTGATTGTAATTTTATGAAAGTCTTATTATTTTAAAAATACATATGTGACTGAGGAGAATTATTTCAAAACTAAGAGAATTCAGAGAGATCTTGGTTTGATGGCAGTCCTCTGCAGGCTGTACCCAAGTCTCCACCATGTGCATTCTTTATGCATTGTCTGTCCTGCATTTGTGGCTAAGTCAGAATCCCCCATTACTCTGTTGCCCCCTACTGGCTACTTCCTGCCAAATATTCTGTCTTAGTGTTCACACGTGAGTGAGTTGTGAGCCCAAAGCCATGTAACTTCCTTAAGGAAAAGGTGATTAAGACCTTTAGAGACAACTCCCCACCTTTGTTGTTCTTGTTTTTGTTTTTTGTAAATGTCCTGAAATCAAACTGAAAGAAGACAGGCCATGTTGTGGCCTCCTATTTATCCATTTACAAGTTTTATTTTATTTTACTTTTTAGATCTAGATCTGTAGCATGCTCCCACTGCAGCAACCACATGCATGATTGTAAACAACTAGAAGTAATTGCCTTTGAATGGGAAAAACAAACTGTAAATTTGCTTGGTGGAGAGTAAACAATTTTTAAATCAGCCTCACTTGTATGACATTTATGCCTAGATATTTGAATGCTCTGGCTGTTAGACACTTGGAACATTTACATAATTATTCCAAGTCTTAAGAAATCCAAGGCTTTCTTTTTAGACCACCTGTACTTAATAATTCCTTTTTCTCTTTGCCTCAGGGCTGAGGGTTTTGAATCTAACATCTGCTATTACAAGTGTGGCATAGTCAGTCCAGGCCAGAATCTGTTTGCCCACCATCAGCCTTTTGTGTCTCCCATCACCTTAAACTTTGTCTTTTCTTATCTTATCACCTCTGAAAGAACATTGAACTCAAGGTGGAAGTGGAAAGTCTGAAGCGAGAGCTCCAGGAGAGAGATCAGTTGCTCCTCAAAGCCTCGTGAGTACATGTTACCCCATGATTTTGTTGATAGGGTCCCACATATGGGTGTTGGGCTGGGCAGTAAAACACAGCCAGGTGCTTTTCTAAAGCCACCATTTTCTGACTGGCTTTGGAGGACTCCAAGAAGTTGTACTTTTTATTTAATTATTTGTTATTTGAATGTTTTTAAAGTATAATGCAGTTATGGGAAAATGAACCAGACTTAAGGGTACTGTGGATTTCTATGAAGCAAGCACATATGTGCAGCTCCTGTCTGAACCGGAAAGCTTCCAGGAAGCCTGCTTTCCTTCATGTTTTCAGAGGATCCCCTTGTCCTCAAGACCCACTGTTCTCAACTCAGTTGCTTACTTCTACCGATTTTTGAACGTTATATAAATGGAATTGTATAGTAGGTACTCTTTTGTGTTTGTGAGAGTCAAGTCACCTGTGTTGTTAAGTGTGTTGCTGCTTAAGGAGTTCATTTGTTTTCACTGATGAAAATGCCTGTGAGTGGAAGGGATTCTGGTTGAGTGGAGGCATGGAGGCAGGGGGAGGGCTTCAGCCAGTACCTTGTTTTAAGCCTGTGTGTGTACTAGGAACTCTTTTAATGTTTTATTTAAAGGGCATCCTAATGCTTAAGAATTAGAAAATTATTATTAGAAAATTATTAATTTTATTTATTCAAATATTTTTTAATAGACTCATTGATTCCTCTTATATCCATCAATGTTTATCACATAATTATTAGCACCACACACTGAAGATCTACAGAGACACTGACGTGCCCCAACCTCAACTACTTCAAGATGCATTGTGAGCAAGTGAAGTGTTTTGGAGGTGTAGCAATGGAATGTGGCATGTAGGGATACCAAAGTGTGCTCAGTTTTGCCCCAGGAAAGTGCAATGTCTTCCGAGGCGGTCTTCAAAGTCTGCTTGGAAATCTGTATAGAAGTGTTTCCCCTGTCATGGCGATGAAACTTCTGGTGTGGAGGGCCAAGAACATGCTTGCACCACTCTGGGCTGGGTTACCATAGGATCTAGTGGCTAGAAGTTGGCTATTGTGGCTTGGGGTCAGACCAGGGACTTCCAGGCCTGGGCTTCTCCTCTAAGTGTCGCTGAATCAGTGATAAATTAATAAACTTACCCAGGCTAACATAATCTTTGTTCTCATCACTTTTTTTTTCTTTTGGAAATGGCTCATTGTTTGGGTTCTGAAGTACCAGGCCCGAGATCAATACCCAAGTTTGGTCATCTTCATACTCATTGCCTCAGTGCTGTAAACCTTGGGTAGCACTTGTTTTAGGCAAAGTTTGTATACATGGGAATCCCACCTCATCAGAGAGCTTGTGTGCATTTCTCAGCAATATCACTCGGGATGGTGTGTTTGGGTACTTGCATTCATGTTTGTGTGTTTTCCTAACTGCCATGCTTTATATTCAAAGCCCTTTGTGATCTGACCAGTTTTGTTAACTTATTCAGAAACTATTTATCAAATGGCTGTTGTGTGTTGTACTGTACAAGGCTCCTGGTGATACAGTGGTGATCCAGATACTCAAGCCTTGCATGCTTCTGAGAATGATGACGATGTGAAATTTACATTGGCAAATGTATGACCACAGATTGAGAGAAGATCTGGAAAGAAAAAAAGGGAACTATGAGAGTTTGTAGTTGTGGCAGTGTGTGTGTGTTTGTGTGTATGTGTATAACACTGGAGGGAAGGTATGCCTGTGAAGGTGACATTTAATGTGAAGTCCAAGATGCCATTAGAATTCGGGAGGTGAGTGGATGGAGATGTGTCAAAGAAGAGGGTGTGATAAATCTGAGGAAGCAGGATAGTATCACACTAGAGATTCTAGTCTTTGTTCTAAGGTCAGATAAGTTAAGAGGCATAGTATGGAGTTTGATTTTTTGGTAAGGTTGTTGGGTGGAAGAGGGATTGTGAGGTTGCAGGGAGACTAGGTGAGGTGAGAGCTGGATGCTGGCATGGATAGTAGGCTAAAGGGAAAGACTCCTAGGAAGTATATTCACAGGCCTTGATGATGGGATGATGTCAGGGTATTAGTCACTGTTCTGTTGCTGTGATAAAATACCTTGCCAAAATGATGTGGGGACAGAAAGGGTTAATTTTAGCTTATATTTACAGAGGGATCAAATCCATCATGTCAGGGAAGGTATGGTAGGAGCAGGAAGCTGGCTGATCACATTTTTACCTGAGCAGAAAGAAGAAACAAGATGTAGGTCCAGTCTGCAAAACCTCAAAGCCTTTCTCCAGCATGGTTCTATTACTTTCCCAAACAGTGCTACCAGCACTGTGCTACCAGGGGACCAATGCATGAACCTATGGGTTTCTTACTCAAACCACCATACAAGGAAATGCTCTCTAGAGTTAAAGTCTTGAGCCCTGTTGATGGATGTTCACATTGATTGACTTACCCATTTTAACTTCTTCACTACCACCTCTGTCCCCAACACATCCCAGAGGATCCCCGGCTATTCTTGCTTCTCTAGCTTCTTGTAAACATATGTCTTCCCTTCTTAGCTTTCCCAGCCCAGTGCCTTCCCATCTTCTCCTTGTTCTAAAAGGTACAGACAAGGATTCTTACAGCACATATCACATCTGGTTCCTGTCAGTAAATGTCTTCTTTGCTTGAGAGGGAAATCAAGGGCGGAATGGCTTGGGAGTGTTGGAGACCTCAGGTGGAACAGGTTTAAATGAGCAGCTTATGTAATTGGCAGGGGACAAAGCCTATTTAAGCCTTTGGGGAGTGGGTAGAGGCTTTTAGGATTAGTGTACATTATTTGTCTGGGGCTAAGGTGCTGGGAATGCCTTATTTGCATGAAGAGGAATTCCAAGTGTTTGCTTTACATGACCTTAAGAAGAAGGGAAGTTTAACCTGGCTGTGACTATGTGACTTACTCTGGTGTGGGCAAAAGTGAGGGGTTCTGGACTGTGTGCACGTGGACATTCTGGCCAGGAACAGGGGAGGGATAAGTCCCCACTCCTATCTCTGGATACAAGATTTTCAGGCTTGGGCACACTGGACCCCACTCCTGCTCCACACCAGCTGTGCCTCCCCCCCACCCCTATTTCCATGGGGCTTCAATCCCACAATTATTCAGCCAAAATCTCAAGGAGTGCCTCCCTTTTATAAAGGAGAGCCATTGAAAAGAAGGGCTGTGGTTTTTATTTATTTAATTTTTCAAGTGTGATTTTCTTTTCTTTCCTTTTTTTTTTTTTAAGATTTATTTATTACATATACAATGTTCTGCCTGCATGTACACCTGAGTGCCAGAAGAGGGCACCAGATCTCATTATAAATGGTTGTGAGCCCTGATGAGGTTGCTGGGAATTGAACTCAGGACCTCTGGAAGAATAAGCAGTGCTCCTAACCTCTGAGCCATCTTTCCAATCAAGGCGGAGGTTTTAGAAAAGTCAAAATTTGAGTTAGAGATTAAGTTTCAAATATGCCTTTTAGCACTAGGCTTTACAGGTTTTTTGTTTTTTTTCTTTTTTCTTTCATGTTTCTGTGTTGACATACAGAGTGCACAGTATCTCTAAGTGGCCTTTCAGTGTCTACCTCATATCTGCTGATGGGTCTTTCTTTCCCTTTTGCCATACTACCTAGAACCCATCAGTGTGTCTGTGGTAGATGTTAATGGAGTCTTATTGTTAATGTAAATGCTGTCAGTCCTCTTTTTGTGGAGTTGGGTTTTGGTTCAGGAAAGGGTAAAACTTGGGCTCCGACATAGAAAAAGAGCAACTCTAGCTTGAATAGAAGGAATCCAGAAGAAATGTTGAAGGCTGAAAATCGTAACAAGGGGGCTGGAGAAATGGCTCAGAGTTTAAGGGCACTGGCTGCTCTTCCAGAGGTCTTGAGTTCAAGTCCCAGCAACCACATGGTGACTCAAAACCATCTATAATGAGATCTGGTGCCCTCTTGTGGCATGCAGGTATACACATGCAGACAGAATAAATAAATAAATCTTTAAAAAAGAAAATGGTAATGAAGGGAGTATTTATGGAAGGTTCGCTAGCATTGCATGGAAAGCTGGTATAGACCTCTGAAGTCTGATAGTCTGCCTGCCAGGCTCAACAAAAGAAAAACAAAAGGGTAGAGAAAGAAAACTAACATTGGTCCAGAACCTACTTTGTCACAAACCTGTATGTACAGTGCTAGGCAATTGTATTAAGCCTCCAGTGTTCCCCATTTGAGTAAAGAGAAAGCTGAGACCCAGAGAATGGTAACAGGTTGGTTCTAGTGCAGCTCCTGAGCCCTCCCTGCCTTGCTGTGAAGTAAACATATCTCTGTGCTAGTTTGCCATTGTTCTGTTTATCAGTTACAATAAGGGGACATTAAAAACAAAAGCAGTCATACTGTTGGGAGTAAATTTTATTTCTGTAGCTTTAAAACAAACAAAAAATAATAATTCCATTAGCAGAGGAAAATTGCACCATACTGCTGAATATAAATTTTATTGCTACAGTAACTGTAAAATACAAAGATGATAAATGAAAAGTTGGAACATTTATTATTGTGAATATATTTTATTGGTATAACTAAAACACCAACAAACTGAATAATGCTAGTAGTTGTTAAAAATTGTACAGCCTTTGACAGCATGTGCGATTCAGGCTATGAAATGAGAAGATAAGATCTGGGCTGATGTGAGGGAGAACAGAGTGCAGCAGAGTGCAGGGCCATACGGGGGCTCTGTAAAACTCCAGGGCTAAAACATCTGTGAACACAGGAGCAGAAGCATCCGTTTAGGGGCTGGATTGATACGCAGTGAGCCGAGTGTTTGTTGTGCAAGCACAGGGACCTGAGTCTGGTATCAAATCTAGGTAAAGTGTTTGCAACCCTAATGATGGTGGTGGGTGTCACAGGAGATGGGGCTTGCTGTTTAAGGAGTTACAGGTTTAGTGAGAAACCCTGCTTCAAAAATGAATGAATGAATAAATAGATAAATTAAAAAATAATTAAGATGGCGAACAATAGAAAGCAGTGTCATCCTTTGTCCTCCAAACACATGTATGGGTGAGCACCCACTCATGTGTGCATATACCACATATTCACAGACAGAAAGAGAAAACTCTCTATCTATAGCTTGGGAAAGAGAGGAGGTCAGTTTGGAATTCTTTTCACCATCTGTAATGCCCCTTGAGGAATGATAGAAATGACTGTGAGTCACTGTGAATTAGAGACAGCACTGATTCCAGAAATGAGCTGAGTGTGTGTGTGTGGGGGGGCCTGAGGACACTCAGGGCAGGGATCAGGAAGTGAGCATGTTGGCCTTAGTTCTGGCCAGGGGATGATCTATTCTAAGCTCAGAATCCAGCAGAGGGGTAGCAGGAGGCCTCTCAGCAGCACAGCAGGGCTTGTGCTGCCTTGGCTTCAAAGGGGAGGCCTCACAGCAGGATATGAGGAGCGCTCATGCAGAGTGTTGAGGCAGGCTGCAGAGGACCCTGTGTGGTAGCCCATTAGCTCCAAGAGGTAATCATCTCATTTTTCACATGAGGAGACCAAGGTGTAACAACTAATTTACTGGGGCTAGGTAATTTACCCAGAGCAACACTGGGGATGGAATAGAGTGAGAATTTAGAAGCAGATCTGTCTGGCCTGAGCTGGTGTTCTCCGTTTCAGTTATTCACACTGAATTCCATTAATGTGATATTATGATGACCTTCTGAAGCCGTGCTGAAAGAAAAACTAGGTATAAGTAAGGCCTTTATTTGCAAGTGATTTCTGTGGGAGAGTTGGATAACCAGCACAGCCCTGGGTGGAACTGTTCTAGATGAATGGTTTATGTGTCCATGTGACCCAGTGTGTGAGCATCTACTTACAGGGCTTTGGGTTAGGGAATTTTATAGACTCCTTAAGTCAGGTTAGGGAGGCAAGTGGTAGAGAGGGTGGTTTTTCTTTTTCTTTTCTTTTTTTTTTTGAGAAGCCAGCTTTAGTTTCTTTCAGCCATTTCTTCAGTTTCCCTCTGGAGACTGCAGTCATTTACAGCGCAGCGAGGGCTGCTTGAGTTGAAGTCTCGTGGCCACACCACTGCTTTTCTTTCTGCATTGCTGGTCATGGCCCCGTCTCATGCTGCCCTGATTATTAGTGTCATGCCCGCCCCTGATTATCCTACGGAGAGAGAGCCTCCTAAGGTGCCACAGCAGAGTGTCGTGTGGGTGATTAACATCACAGAAACACCAACCAGGTCCAGGTGTCTTGCACCCATACCCTCTTAACACCCAAAATAGCAGCCTGCACTGGCTCGATCTCACTGTAGTTAAAATGCTTGCCCTCGGGCTGGTGTAAGGTGAAGCATACAAGCCCTGTCCTCACAGATCTGTTTGTTGCACACTGATCCTTCGCCTGTTGGTTCCCAAGCCACCTTTCCTATACCACTGGTGGGAGAGTATTGGTGGGAACATGGCAGTTGCTATCAAGAATGCCTACCCTTGGACTCAGTTATTCCCTTTCTAAGAGTTTGTCTTCAGGGACCATTAAACCACAGTAATGACATTTAGTGAGTGGTTGCTTTGTACAAGGCACCTCTTTTCAGATCTTTGTTGGTGTTATCAATCAAATGTGTTACGTCAGAAAAGATTTAGATTGTTAGGCCATACAATGAATTAATGTGTAGGCTTTAAGATGATATGTATTTCTACTGACTCTAACGGGTGTTCTCAGTGTAATAAGTGATCAGTTTAGTTCACTAATATACACAAATGGTTCTGTTTGGGTGGACAGTTCCCGAAAGGCTGTGTGTTAGAATGCTGATTAGTAAGTATCCTGTGGGATAAGAGTATGGATGACTCCTACCACATGCTTCCTACTTATAAATATTGTCTTTTTTTTTTTTTTTTTTTTTTTAATACATTCAGTTCAGGAAATGGGAGAAATGACTGGTAAATACCCCATGTCTTTTTGGGCTAGTGAAGTTGCCATCAGACAGGCGCCTGACTGTGGCATGCCCTTTGTCTCTCTGCAGCAAAGCAGTGGAGAGCCTAGCAGGAGGGGGTGGTTCCGAAGTCCAGCGGGTGGAGGAAGATGCTCGGAAGAAGGTGCAACAGGTGGAAGATCTCCTAACTAAAAGGATACACCTTCTAGAAGAAGTAAGTCTGGAGATGCTAAGGGTCCTCTGCTTATATGAGGTTAGTCTTGGGAAAGGTATGGTGGCATGCCTCTTCTTTAATGCCACATTTCAGTAGAAATGTGGCCACCCTCATCATTACTGAATTCTAGCCTCCACGTAGGCACTTTACACATGCAACTTAAAACCCTTACACTGTTGTCTTCCTCCTGTGAGGACATTGAGGCAACGAAAGAAGTACTGACTAGCATAGGTAGTTAGGCCCACTGAGGCCCACTGAAGAAATGACCATTCAGAGATAAGCAAGCTTGGACTCAGATTGCTTGATGCTTGGCTGTTGCCTGTCCACCTGGCTCTTGTCCTGTCTCTAGCCTCTATCCACTGTCTTGCCAGAACTCACCTGATACCACGTCTCGTCTCTCATAGGTCTAATGTGCTATTCATTCCATCAGGCAGTTACTGTAACCATAGTTGGGAGTCAGATGCTTCCTGGCTGAACAGCTGCATCTGGATAGGACAGTAGAAAGTTGTCCTCTATTTTAAACTAAGATTAAGTACCACTGTTTGAGTAGCCCTTTTCTGGAATGCTTAGGATGAGAAAAGTTTTAGATTTCAGCTTATTATTTTGAACATTTGTACATAACTAATGTGCTGTCCTTGGGATGGGATCCAAGGCTAGACAAGAAATCACTTACATTTTACATATGCGTTATATATGTAGTCAGAAAGGAATTTTATGCACTATTTTAACATGCCTGTGTTTTGACTACAACTCATCACATGAGGTCAGGTGTGAATTTTTCATGTTGATGAGCAGAAAATTTCATATTTTGAGCCTTTCAGAATTTGGGTTGAGATGATCAATATATATTAATAAGTTATTATTATTTTGTGACAGGATCTACTAGGTAGTAAGGCTAGCTGGCTTCAAACTTGGCAATCTTCTTGCTTCAGCTTCCCAAACACTATAATTTCAAGCATACACCACTATCTTTCAATTTCTGTTGCTGTGAAGAGATGCCATGACCATAGCAACTCTTTTTGTTTGTTGGTGTTTGTTTTTGAAATAGGGTTTCTGTGTAGCCCTGGCTGTCCATAAACTTGTTCTGTATACCAGGCTGGCCTCAAATTCAGAGATCTACCTACCTCTGCCTCATAAATGGTGGTATGAAAGGTGGGTGCCAGCACCCCTATCCCTCCTGACTACAGCAACACTTACAAAGGAAAACATTTAACTGGGGCTAGTTTACAGTTCAGAGGTTTAATCCATTATCATCATGGCAGGAAGCATGGCAGCATGCAGGCAGACATGGTGCTGGAGAGGTAGCTGAGAGTTCTACATCTGGGTCAGTAGGCTGCTGGATGAACAAAACTCTGGGCTTGGCTTGAGTTGAGCGTTTGAAATCCCAAAGCCCACCCCCAGTGACAACTTTCTCCAGCAAGTTCATACCTAACTCTAACAAAGCCACACCTGCTAATCTGCACATTAGCACCACACCCTTAATAAGACACTTGTGAAAGTTGTCATCTTTTTATCCAGACTTCTTGTTTGTCTCATGAGTACTTCCCAGTGCTTCTCCTCTGTTGTTTGTTGCATTTATCCCATTGGGTAGAACATTGCCTTTGTGAATTGATTACAGCAGCAGGAGCTTGCAGCACTGGCTGCAGTAAAGAACACTAAGTCAAGTGAGCCCCCCCACAGGGGGAGGTCCCCTGCTCAGCTTCATATGTATACTTAGCTATCCTTCCAAGAAACCAGTGAGTTAACCACTTGCATTTCCCCATTTTCTTTTTCTTTCTCTCTTTTTAAACATACTGAAACAGAAGGCACAAAGTAGCCAGGGCATTTGCTCAAGGTGACACAGGTGATATATATCAGATGATCTGGCTGCATTTTAGGCTGCAGTATTCTGCTGTCTCACGCCACAACACTTTAGGGTTAGGTTGAGATCAAATATTTTATGACTGTTTACTCAGAGCCTGGCATTTAGTAGGCACTCAGCAAATAACTGTCTAAGAAATGTGGAGTAACAGGCAGAACTCTTAAGGCAGACAGTATTAGTGGAGGTGCTAAGAGGGGAAAGGGCGGGGAAAGAGAAACTAGCTGTTTTTAGTTTCTGGGATAACAGGCCTTGGCAGTCTCACAGCAGCTCTTTGATGGAATGGTGGGTATCCTGTTTCCTAGAATAAAAACCTGGGGCTCAGAGATTAAATGACTATCCAAAGACACACAGCAAGTAGGAGAGCTGAATTTTGAACCTGGGTCTATTTGACTTTTTGTTTCCGTTGTAATCTGGGGCAGTGGTCTGTGTTTTGTGAGCCCAAGCCCTTTCCCCCTAACAGAGACATGGCCTTCATGATTTAGAAGATAATATCCTTGGTGGCTTCTCCAAGCACTCAGAAAGAGCATACTTTTTCACCACCTAAATCACCTTGGAGATGCAGAAATGCATTTTAGAATTGTGTAGTCATTATCTTAAAAAGAAACAGTGAGGGGCGGTGGGCTGTGGGATGAATTTGCATGGAGATTAGGGTGACTCTGGAATTTATGCATGTTTAGTATTGAGAACCACATTTCTCCTTGTTCTCATTGAAGCTGTAAATATTGATCTGATTTTTCAAAACCAAAAGTACAGTTCTTGTAGAGTTGAGTCTTTTCCATTGGAAGTGCCCATTACTCTTCTAATACAAGAGGGAAAAATGGCTGGCAAATGTATTTATTACTAATTCTTTCCATGTATAGTATATCCAGGGAGAGGAAATGTGCCGGAGAAAAAGTCATAAATATTTATATTTTAATCCAATTTTCTTTCAAAATGTTCCCAATTGTATTGAAAAATTGCATCAAATGCATTTAATTTAACTGTAGGATGTGAAAGCTGCCCAAGCAGAACTGGAGAAGGCCTTTGCGGGAACAGAAACAGAGAAAGCTCTTCGGCTCAGCTTAGAAAGCAAGCTGTCAGCAATGAAGAAGATGCAGAAGGGGGACCTGGAGATGACTCTGGCTCTGGAAGAGAAGGACAGGTCTGGCTGTGATCCTCATGAAACTCTAACATCTCAGTATCTGTCATGGGAGAGAATCTGCCCCTCTCCTTTCCCCCTCCTTCCCCTCTCCTTCTCTTCTGTCATTCTGTCATTGTTCTTCACAAGATTAGAATAACTTACAGGAATGTATCCAGCACATCAATATAGAAAACTGAGGGATCAGAGTGGGGCAGAAAGAATGGGAACAAGATAATAGTGGGTGAGAGACAGTCAGTAGACAGACAAGTCATGTTGTAAAAGGATACTTAGATCCTAATTCTATTGTTTAGTTTTGGCTATAGCTTCCTGGTAGCCAAAGGGAAAAAAACCAATTCTGTGGACCTGAGATTCTGAGGTAAACAAGTCATGGATTCAGGAGAGGCCCAGTTTTGCTTAGCACTATCAGGGAAATTTCTCTTGTGATTCTTTCCACTGGGAAAAGTAAGTGGTTTGTCCCCACAATAACTACTAGCGAATTTTTTGTGACCCATTTTTTTTATCATGTTGTTTAGTGCTGGCTGGGGGCCCAAATTAAGCAGTTTAATAGGCCAAGAGATCACTGTAGACCAAACACAGAGTTCTTCAGTGCATAATGAATAAAAAGTACACTGTTGGTTCAGAGAAATGGATGGACAGTAGACTGTTAGGCCACCTTTAATGGCCACTGTGCCTTGCAGCCAAACTTTTGACAAAAACTTGTTAAGCAGCTGACATTTTCTTCTGACATTTTGGCTCTCTTATCCTACCTCTTAGTCTCTAAATGGAAGGTGGAGATCAACAAAGCTGGTTGAATAGCCATACCTGTTTGGACTTGGATGAGATGGTTCCAGAGTGAATGCTGTCCTCCAGAGTCTTCTGCCTGTGGTTTCTTTTCTCATCCATTCGGTGCCCTGTGAAGTGGTGTGCATCACCACATTGTTTAGTTAGTAGCCCAGGCTGGCACAGATTCACTATGTGGCAGAGGTTGGCCTTGCACTCCATGTGCTTCTGCTGCCTCCCCAAGTGCAGAGTTTACAGGAGCACATCACCCTGCCCAGCTGTTTAGGTTCTTGTGGCCAGTGTTATTTGCCTTTACTTCTGACTCAGAGCCACCTTTTGATGTTTAGGTCTGCCACTTTGTTTTCAGTTATGGATTGGCAAATGATAAGCAAACCTTCTGGGATTCTCTATGAGAGAGGACCAGATCAGTATTGAGGAAGCCTGTGGTTGTGGTCTCCCCATTTCAGTACCCTTACTTTAGGTACTCAGGGTACTAGCATTTATTGTGTATACTGCCACCTGCAACCTGCAACCTTTTTTAGGTTCCCCTCCTTTTTTCTGTCTTAATTTTCTTTTGACTCAGTGTTTTATAGTTGTTTTTTTTTTTTTTTAATTCTAATTTTGGTGTGTGTGTATATGTGTGTATGTATATGCGTGGAGGTCAGAGGCTGTTCCCTTTGTTTTGTTCTGTGAAATGGAAGTATTGTGTGTGGAAACTTAAGTTCTATAGATATTGGTGGAGGGAATGAGTTACCACCTCCATCTAACTCTTTGTGATTCAGGGTTTTTCTTGACCATGTTGCCAGAAAGAGGAGGGATTCCCTTTGCTGGCTTCTCCCTACCCTCCCACCCCCATGCCATTCATGAACAGTCTAAGCTGCCACTGTGAGAAATTCTACATATATGATTGTTGTTTTCCATGATCTCTCTCCTGCTTGATTGACAGTGAAGTCCTTAGAACACATATAGACTTGGTTTTCTTGGAGAACTATATATTCTGGAAACTAGATTAGGGGTAGGGAGCCCAAGGAATGGATTAGACTAGAGTAGAATGTCTGAGTGGTTTTCTTAGGGTTTCTGTTGCTGTAAGGAGACAACATGACCATGGCAACTCTTATAAAGGAAAACATTTAATTGGGGCTGGTTTACAATTTCAGAGGTTTAGTCCATTATTGTCATGGCAACATGCAGGCAGACATGATGCTGGAGAAGGAGCTGAGAGTTCTACATCTTGATTCCTAGGCAGCAGAAGACTGTGCCACAGCAGGTGTAACTTGAGCACATAAAACATCAAAGCCCACTTCCACAGTGCCTCCAACAAGGCCACATCTCCTAACAGTTCCACTCCCTATTGGCCAAGCATTTAAACACATCTGTGTTTGTGAGTCTGTGGGGACCATTTCTATTCAAACCCCCACAGTGGCCTCAAGTAAACAGGAGAACTACTGGTACCTGTGAGGGGGAAGGCAGGGAAGAGTTGAAAAAAGGGTTTCCAAGAAGTCCTAGGGCAGAGTCTTGTGAGGATCCTGACATATTTAGCAGTTATTTAACTGTCTCTATTGGATGATTATGCTCTTTATTCACGTGTATCTTCTGTTCCACTCAGCAGTGATTAAAGGAGTGAGTTAGGGAGACTTTCATTGTCTACTTCAAAGCTTATCAAGTTGACTAGGTGGAAGAGTGGATGGCAGGAACAGAAGGACATGGACTAGATGGGACAAATACTGGTTTTCCATAGTGTTTACAAATTCAACGTAAAGGGGCCAGGAGAAGCTTTCTCAAGGAAGTAGGTATCTACCTGAGACTCTCAAGGATGCCTGAAACCTGACAGTATGCAGCCTTTCACTTGCTTTGCACCTTCACCCCACTCCTCATAATAAATATCTGCGTTAAAATTGAATTGACAATAAGAAATTAACAATGAAAATTATTAAAAAGTAGACAATTGTGGCAAGTCTGTTGTGAAAGTAGGTGAATGCAATCTCTTTTGTAAAATAGTGTACTGGGCTCACCCTTCTTGTGATGATGTAAGATGATATGAAGTGAGGGGAATGACACAGTCATGATATACTGTTAGGCAACCGTGTGTTACTTGATTGTAAACATCATGAAGCAGTTCTGACAGTCACGGAATGAAAATGCATTGAGTATCAAGACGGTGGCATATACTATGCAGGTATGCTGGATGGGTCATTGCCTTGTGGAATAATCTGTACTTTATCTGAAGTCATGGGATAATCCATTGAAAAGTTAGTGGGGAGATTGGGGAAACAACGTGATTCCATTTAAATTTACCACAATTCTTTGCTTGCCTTTGGGATGGATTGCTACTGTGCTCTCATGCTGATACAGACATCTAGATAAGCAATGGCAAACAAGCCTGAAAGCCTGGAGTAGAAATGGAGGCAAACAAAGAAGGTGAAGTGGACACAGTAAGCTTAGAAGGGCTTTGGTAGACAGGGGAAAACACATACTGATACCTCTCTTTCAGCCTTGAGAATGAGTGGCTGAGGGGAGGTGGTGCAGTTTATGTATTTTGGAGATGAGCAATGAGGAGGCGCTTTTAGGTGGGAGTGGGAAGATGACATTTTCAGTTAGGACAGGAGTTGTGGGATCGATGAGCATCTGTGAGTAAAGGTGTGTATGAGAGGAGGTATGTGTGAGGGGAGGTGTGTGTGAGGGGAGGTATGTGTGAGGGGAGGTTTGGGTGAGGGGAGGTGTGTGTGAGGGGAGGTGTGTATGAGGGGAGGTGTGTGTGAGGGGAGGTTTGGGTGAGGGGAGGTGTGTGTGAGGGGAGGTTTGGGTGAGGGGAGGTATGTGTGAGGGGAGGTGTGTGTGAGGGGAGGTGTGTATGAGAGGAGGTATGTGTGAGGGGAGGTTTGGGTGAGGGGAGGTGTGTGTGAGGGGAGGTGTGGGTTTGTAGATTCAGGCTAGAATAGGAGGAAATGAAGATTCATGTAATAAGCAGTGCTGAACATGGCTTGCACATGCATTTGGAACTACAGAGACAACAGTAGCTCTGCTTATGGAGAGTGGACAGGTAGGTCCAAATAAATGGTAGAAGTGAATTTTGAGCTCTGTGGGATTCTTCTAGGGAGAGTTCTAGAAGTTGCCAATGCAGAGGGTTGGCATGTATAAAGGAATGGAGCCTGCATACTTTGTGTACAAAGCCTGCACAAGTAGATCATCAGGGTATGTTGCTTAAGCTTGGATTGTTATTTGTTTGGGCATTTGGGAAGGTGTGTGGGCTGGTCCAGGTGGTAGCTTCGCCATGGATTTGGATGGCCAAGTTGGCATTCTACTGAAGGCTGCATCTTCCTGACATTTATATATCCCTGGCTAGACAGGTATAGAAACTTGGCTTGTCAGGTCTACAAATCTGTCAGTCTCAGAGATGAAGATGTTAAACTTCCAGAGACCAGCAACCAGCAGCCTCCTTCATTTTCCCTCAGACAGTGACTATTTGGTAAATCTTCTCACTGAGTTCCCATAGTCCATATTTAAGTCAAAGTCAGAAATCTAGCCTAGCAAGGGCAGCAGGGGTAGTTGTTTTATATCCAGGTGACATGGATCTGGATCAGCCATACAGAGTAACCTGCTTGTTGTGCATGACAGGCTATTGAATCTGATCTGCCTCCACTTGTCTTACTGGGCTCCCACTTCTGTTTTCAAACAGGCATATTTTCTCTAGTTTCTTCAGCCTGGCTTTTGGACTCTTTTGGATCTGAAGTAGATCATGTTTGTGAGACCTACAGGCAGGCTATAACCAATAGATATATTTTCTTCAGGCTAAATAAAATTTTTAAAAGTTTGAATTAGTTGATGCCATTTAAAACATCGAATTTTCAGAAGAATGAGCTCTCACATTTCTTGAAAGCCCAAAGATGGAGGCAGCCTGAGGGGATGGGGTAGCTTCTTACTGGTTCAGGACTGCTGCTCCCTTTAATGGGCTGGGTCTTTAATTGTCCTGGTTCTGGCTTCACTTTCCATTTTAAATCTACATTTGTTGACTTTTAGCTCATTTGCTTATTGGTTATATCAGAACTGAACCCCTAGAGGGCAGTATTGCACCTCCCTCCAGGTTTGTCCATCATGCGATCCCACTGGCACTCTGATGCCAGTGCAGGCTAGATGTTTATGCTGCCTGTGTCTCCCTCCAGGCCTTTGACAGGGAAGCCAGGTGCTTCATGAAAGCAGCTCTGCCAGACTTCCAGGCCTCTATTTCTACAAAATTGGGTTGCTTTCTAGGCCTAGCCGTGGAAGGGCTCTTTGGAGAGTCCTCTGACAAAATGTTAATTGTTGAATGTGTAAGAGGTACTATATAGGGCTGGTTTGGGGAGATGACTTAATGAATGAAATGCTTGCCATGTGAGCATGAGGACCTTGGTTCTGATTTCCAGCATTCCTGTAAAAGCTGGGTATGATAATATGTATCCTTGCATTTCAAGGCAGAGAGACAAGAGGATTCTTGGGGCTTGCTAACGAGCCAGCCAGCCCAGAAAAGCCAAAATAACATGAGGAAAACATTAGGACACTGAGCTCTGATCTGTACATACACCTGTATAGATAAGCACCCGTATACAAAACATGCACAGCAGACATATAATCGGCATTACAGCTGTCATTTGGTGAGTCCAGCTGTATGTCAGAAGTGCACTTGTGTTTTAAGTTTCCCAAACACAGGCCCAGAGAGATAGAATGACTTAGCTTGGTTACAGAGCAGTTGATCGAAGAACATTGAGTTTAGTTTCAAAAAGGAAAATGTTCATGTCTTCTGGAGGCATTATGGTTGTAGGTTGCAAAGCTTCTCTCAGACTAAGATGAAAGATGCAATTTAAAGAACTCTGCTGTTTTATCAGGGAGGACAGGAAGGGGTTTGGGCGGAAGGTGTTGATAGCATATGCAAAAGTGTGGAGGGGCATAGAATAGCTTTGGAGCTAGCTCTGTGTGAGCTGTTGTGGGCTCATTGGCATCAGGATGATACTGTGGCTGTTAGGACTTAAGAGCTGGGTGCCTGGATGCCTTATCCCAAAGTGTGGCCTTTAGCCTGAGATGTGGTGTGTTTTTAAGCATTGTATGCAAGCTATGGAGAGATATGCTCTTTAAATCCACACCCACCAAAACCAGCTCTCACTTGGTTGTGCGATTAGGCTTCAGGGACAGATTTCTTTTGGAGAGGTGATTTCCTACTCATAACTTAGCAACCTGCTGCTGCTGGTGGGCCGCTGAAAGTCTTGGAGCAGGTACATGGCTTAAGCAGACAAGGTGCAGTTCAGAGCTAAATCCCTGGGGCAGGCTAGAGACAAAAGGACTCATTATTGTCACATATTTTCTGGTCCTTGCTCTCTGACCTGCAGAATTTGATTCTGTTTATGTGTATTCATTGGACACATCTACTTTGAAGATGCCTGGCCCCACTCCCTACCTCCTCCTGCTCTACTGAGCTAAGAGAGCAGCTCAGAATTAATATTTAAATTTTGTTCCCTTTCAGACTGATTGAGGAGTTGAAGCTGTCTTTGAAGAGCAAAGAAGCTTTAATTCAATGCCTTAAAGAGGAGAAATCTCAGATGGCATCTCCTGACGCGAATGTGTCATCTGGAGAACTCCGAGGACTTTCTGCCACTCTGAGGAAAGAAAAGGAGAGAGATGGTGAGGTAAGGCGACAGGGCACAGCGGGAGGGGGAGTACATCAGACTGTTCCATGGGAAGTGGGGCGCTCTTCAGTCTGCTTGGTTTGCATAGTAACTTCTGCATACCAGTTCTCTGTCAGCTGAAGAATCAGCAGGGACTGCCTTTGTTAGGCCTCTTTTTGTTCATATGCCCCATACCTATGCATCTGTATTTTACCCTGTGCTAGTTTGCTGTCGCCTCCTGGCTTCTTTTTCACCCTTAGGGCTTTTATATTGTAAAGTTCATGTGCATTTTTCCTTTGTGGTTAGAGGCAGGCCTGAGGCCTTATTTGTTGTGAAACATCAGAGGTTGTGGGGGAAGGGAACTAACTGGTTCTGGGACTAACAGCATGTGAGATGCTCAGCATACTATGCTATTCAGGACTCCTGCCATCTTGGCCAAGTTGAGATTGTGATCCCCTGGCTGAGTTTAGGACCAGCCTCAGAGTAGTCATATTTCTGTAGGTGCCAAGAAGTAGGTTGGGCCCAAATCTCCTTGACGCTGTCTTCACTTTTATAGCCTCCAGGGCAAGCTATTTTGACCTTCCATTCTCCTTGGGTAAAGGATGGCTACTACATGGTCTGTTCACATCGAAGTATGTTTTGGAAGCTCAAGGTCATGATTTCTTTCTGGAGCAGGGTCCTTGTCCTTGTCACAATAGCAGATTCTTTAGCCTCATTGGTTAGCATTCATTTGGAATGTGGGTGCCATTGCTCCTCCTCCTGTTTTGAATCCCTAGAACTGGTCATTTGGTGGCCCTTTCCTTTTTCTTCTGAATCACCCCTGTGCCTGGTGGTCAAACTGGGCAGCTATCTTCACACTTGTCTGCAGTCAAACCAAGTCAGGCTATAGGTGGGGCCCAGAAACAGGGTGTGCTTGTGTTAATGAGGTCTGTTGCAGTGGAGGGGAGTGAGTAATGAGGTGCTTATTCTAATGCGTCTGGGGAAGCCTGATGGTTCTCCTCTTTCTGCTTACTCATGAATGCCTTTTTCTAGGCTGCACATAGGGAACGGCAGAAGGAGAGCAATCATTTTGAAGAGAGGATCCAGGTATATTGGTCCATTTTAAGACTGTACCAAAGACTCATTCTCTTCTTGCCTTTCATTTTATTCAGCAACAGGTAATTCTTTGTGACAGTTTACCAGATGCTGCTGAGTGTCATTCATGCATCAAGTACAGTGGAGGGAGTTCCTTAGTCCTTGCATTAACTCTGTGATGTGAACATTCCCATTTTGTAGATGTGGTACCTGAGACTCAGAAGAGAAGTCACTTGTCCATGATCACACAGCTGGGAGGGAGGAATCTGCCTCTTTGATTCCAAAACCCAGGCTCCTAGGGCCTTTAATCACAACAGCTGGAATTTGTACAGTGCCTGCCAGTTTAAAAAGCACTTTCACATCCATTATCTCTTCTGATCCTCACAAGAGCCCAGGAGGGAGGCAGCAGTGATTATCTTAAGACGTGAACTCAGACTATAAATGTACGGCTCAGTCTCCATCAAACCAAACTCTCTGCTAGCTTTTGTAGCATTAAGGAATGAAATTAATGATCTGTTATTTCCCCCCAAAAAACGTGGTGCAGTTTCCAAGACTCTGATGTGACTGTATTCAGATTTTAGAAGGCAGTAGAGTCCTTCCCATAGGAATAGCTGTCAACTGCTCAAGCGATCTGATCCCCTTCCCTTCACCCGACCCTGTTGCCATGAGCAGGAACACAGTAACTGGGAGCTGATGCCACAGTGCTCAGCTCAGCTAGGAAACATTAATCACAGGTTGACAGGAATAAGATAGAATAACTGCATTTGAGTGTGCTCTTAAAGATATATTTACACTGCATTTTGGTTGGAACACATCAACTTCGTGAATCTTTTTCTAATCTAATTTAGGCACTTCAGGAGGACCTGAGAGAGAAGGAAAGAGAAATTGCTACCGAGAAGAAAAATAGCTTAAAGAGGGATAAAGCCATCCAGGGCCTAACCATGGCATTAAAATCAAAGGAAAAAGAGGTATGTCTGAGGAACGAAGTGGGATTTTTCTTTATTAGTTTCTGTGGCTTGCCTGTCCTACCCTGAAGTTTTAGCTTTAGACAGAAAGTTTCTAAGTGCTAAGACAGTACAGAAAGTGGGTCCTCTAGTCAGTTGAAGTTGTGGATAAACCAGTGTTGTCAGTAACTAAATATGAATACCAAGTTTCTAGTAAGGCACATTGAGATACAAAAATATAAGTCAATTTAAATAATATATGAACATAATTAACACATAGGCAGTGAAACAAGCAACGGTGAGCTATTTCATTTCGTCCCTCAGTACCAAGGATTTAAAGTTCATCTGTACTTTTAGCATCTCAGTTGACATTTACCCAGGCATGTGGCTAGTGACTGCCCTAAAGGACAGTGCAGACTGATTCTTTTGAAGGACAACTGAAATTTGGGGTTGAAGGAATTTGGGAGGCAATGTTGTAGCTGGGAAGCAAGAATCCACCCTGGTTTGTTGCCTTTGGCATCCAGTGTGGTGGCTGATGGCTCTTATTACTTGTTGGTACTGAAGCCTATTGTATCTCAGTGATTAACTAAGGCCCTCACTCACCAAAGAGACCCAACTCTACTCCTATAGGATAGGCAAATTGGAGTGATGGATGTTTGAAATGGGGGAAGTACATTAGTAGAACAGTTCCACGGTATAAAGGTGAGAGTCCATAGTAGATCCTGAGGTATAGAAGAGGAGCATTTTTGGGAGAGGCCACACAAAGTTATTGGTGAAGTTAGAGAAGCCACACGAAGTTATTGGTGAAGTCATATGAATGGACAATAATAATAGTAGTAATGCTTGTTATTTTAGCTCCGGTGTACATTGCCTCATTTGGCACTAACAACATCATAGTTGGATGAGTGGTATTCATCACGTATTAGTTTAATGTATTATTAGTATTATGTTTAATGTATCATGTATTACTATAATGAAATATCAGAGGCAGGATAACTTCATAAAGAGTTTTAACTCATTTTTTTCTGATGCTGCAAGTTCATAGATCAAACTCTTTGATGTGTTCAGCCTCTGATGAAGGTTTAGTGGCTGATAACAGGAATGCAGACAAGAGAGCCAGATCATGTTGTCAGATGAAGCCTGAGAGATTGAGTTCCTCTAGAACCTTCCAAGAGCAAGGTCCAGGCTGACCCCAGGACCTCTCACTCAGATTCAGTTCCTGAAGGCCCTCTTCCTAACGTTGACACACAGAGGACCTGGCTTCTGATACATGGGACATACTCTGACTTTATGTGGACCATGGCCACGGATGAGGGGATTGAGTCTCAGAGAGGGCAAGCTACCCAGTTAACAAATGGCAAAACCAGAAATACCACTAAGAGCTTGTCTGCATAAAATACTACAGGTCAGGGGAATGCATGGAGGTTGTATGGGAAGGAGAGCCCAGCTATGTTCATGGCTGCTATTTGTTTTTTTTCCCCAGGTTGAAGAACTTAACTCTGAAATCAGAGAGCTCGCTGCTGTCTTCACCAACACCAGAGAGACTCCCTCAAAAACCCAGGTAAGAGTTTTCATTAGTGTCAGTGGTTCTCTTGAGTCTTCATTCCAGGAGAGGCCTGGACTTTGCAGCTGAAGGAAACCTGGGAGATTTTAATAAGGGGAACCATGGGTGGTCTTTAGTGATAGAATTTGTTGAATCTAATTAAAGGGAGGTCCTTCATCAGTTTTGGGAGCTTCTTTGGCCTCTTAGTGTGATGATGATGATGGTGGTGGTGGAGTGGTGGTGGTGGTGGTGCTAGTGGCGCTAGTGGCGGCTACTCTAGTAGTTGGGAGTGCTGAGTTAGCTTTTAGCCAACATGTAAAATATCTTATTTAATTTTCACAGTCCTTGAGGAAAATAATCATCATACTCTTGTATTTGTGAGTTCTTTTGAGGCTCTTCGAGGGTGTGCAGCTTGCTCACTCTCACAGCTAGCCGGTGGTAGAGTCAGGATTTAAATTCAGCAGTTATTTGTTATATATATAAATTCAGCAGGTATTTGTTGAATACTTACTTTGTACCCAGTTCTGCTACATATTCCCCATAGATTATGCCCTTTATGTAGCATTTGAAGTAGATACTGTTCATATCCTTGTTTGATTGCCGAGGAACTCCAGGGTGAGAAATGGGATCTGCTTAGGGTCACCACATTGGTGAGTGACAGGGCCAGGATTTGACCTCAGGGTCCCTGGCACGCCACAACCTGGAGTTCTCTGCTCTTCCTTTCTGCTTTATGAATTTGTGGTCCAGGCTTTAATGCCTTTGATCTCTTTTGTGTCCACCGTGTTGTTTTTCAAGGATGCCTCCCACCCATCCTTATAACAGTCCCTCTCTTTTTTATATTTTAGTTTTATGTTTTTAATTATTTTAGCATTTTCTTGCCATGTTTCTAGTCTACCTATACAATTGATGAAAACCTGTTACTGGCGTGAGTCGTGAAATTGTATCACCAGGTCACGTCCATGCTCGCTGAAGCTCTCGCTCTTCTCACTCTTGTACCAGGGTGCTCCTGCTGGTGAAGTAGAATTCAGAATTCAGTAGAATCAGAATTCAGTCTGATTTAAGGCTATGTGACATTCAAGATTCATACCTCCTGCCTTATCTGTTGCAGGGCTTTGGCTCACAATAAGAGTAATTGCAGTAATTTGGTGTAAATTATGGGATGCTAACTGTGTGGACAGACCTCTGCTTTTGGGATCACAGGCTTGCTTCTTCTACTGTTTTGACAATAGATGGTGAAATGGAGCTGAGTTTACATTTTACACCATTTCCCCCTTGCTTAGAAAATAACAAGCTTTAAAGGCCAAATTCTTTGGAAAACCATCAATATTTTCCATTGCTTAAGAAAAGAAATGCTGGCAGTTGATAGCCAGAGTCCAGGCATCCTTATGAGTCTTTGTATATTTTAATTTTCCTTGTTATCTTGAGGTTTGAAGGAAAGAAAGCAGCCTTGTAAACTTGACTGTTACTCAGACATATGACATGCATTTAGTAATTTAATAATCCTTAATCCTGATCAAAATGCAACACATGCAGAGTGAAGTCTGACAACAGCAGCATGGGCTAGGTCCTTGTCTGCATCTCACAGAGAACAGGCATTGCTGACACTCTCTGGGTTCATGTCAGGTTGGCTGGTCTCACAACCTCTTGTGATGCTTCACCCAAAGAGGAGGTATGCTTTTGACCTTTTGAGAGTTTGTGGTGGCAGGATTAGAGTGGCAGTCTGTATCCAAAGCCTGTCCTTTGTGCTGTTCTGATTTCATGTTGAGTGAGTGTATGATGTATATTTATATCAGTGCGTTTTTTAAAATGTGTGTTGTTTCATTGTTGTACAGTCTTTTAAGTGTGCTTCCTTCATGTAAAAGGACCTGTTGGGCTGTGGTGTGATTTGAACTCATTGCAATCTGAGTTTAAAAGCCAATGGGAGCTGAAGGGATGGCTCAGTGGTTAAGAGTACTTGCAGCTCTTTCAGAGGACATGAGTTTGATTCTCAGCACCCAGGTAGGACAGCTTAAAACTACCTGTAACTCTAGTTCCAGTGGATTTGACAGTCTTCTGGCCTGTGTGGACAATTTCACCCATGTGACCCTCTTCCAGACATATACACATGTACATAATTACAAATAAAAAGAACAAAAGACAAAGGTCACAGGGTTCCCTGACATCAAACTTGACAATGAAGCAGCAGCAGATGATATTTAAATTCTCGGAGTAGTTGCTAAAGTACAGACTTACAGACTCAACTTCAGACCACTGATGTGACTGTGCAGGTTACGGTGTAGGCTAGCTGTTACTCCTCAAGCCCATTTAAAGTTATTTCTGTAGTAGAAGTGGTATTCTCCAGGTGTAAAAGTAAAAACACTTATTGAAGTAAAAATTTAAAGTAACTTCTATGCTTAAAGTAGTAGAAAGAAGATAATAAAAATTACCAGCAAACTCACCTCTACTTATGTTCACTGTTGATCCCTTCACACACACTCATACATGCTAAAAGTTACAGATGGAGGTCAGAGGTCAACATCCTCCATCTTTCTCCATCTTATCTTTTGAAGCATGTTCTCTTGTTGAACTTGGAGATCATGAATTTGGCCAGACTGATTGGCCAGCAAATCCCAGATATCCTTCTGTCTCTACCTTCCTAGGGCTGGTCTTACAGACATGCACACCTGCATCTGGCTTTTATGTGGGTGCTGGGGACTGATTCCAGTCCTCTTGCCTGCAGAGCAAGCACCTAACTAACTGAACTACCTTGCTAGCCTCTCTTTCTCTGTTGTTGGTTTTTTTTTTATTTTTTAATTTTTAAATTGGGGTTCCTGTATGTTACCTAGTGTTTTAGGGTTACCATTGCTGTAAGAGACATCATGACCATGGTAACCCTTATACAGGAAAACATTTAATTGGTACTAGCTTCTAGGTTCAGAAGTTTATTATTCCATTATCATCATGGTGGGAAGCATGGCGGAACACAGGTAGACATAGTACTGGAGAGGTAGCTGAGAATTCCACATCTAGATTGTAAGGCAGCAGGCAGAGGGAGTGAGCCACTTGGCCTGGTTTGAGCATTTGAAGCCTCAAAGGCTTCAAAATATTAAAAAAAATATCACCCCCAGTGATATTTTCTCTAAGGAGGCCACATCTAATCCAACAAGGCCCTGTGTCCTAATTCTTTCAACTAATACCACTCCCTGTGAGCCTATGGCGGCTATCTTCATTCTAACCAAGACACCTAGGCTGGTCCCAAACTCGTAGGCTCATGTGATCTTCCTGCCTTGACTGCTTGAGTATCTGGGACTAAAGATGTATACTGGGCCATTGTATATTTCTTGTTCTGGAACCCTTTTCTTAACATTCTTGCCGTGGCAACATAGTGTAGGTGTACTCAGACTTTTTAATTTTTATTTTGAAGTAATTGTTGAGTCACATATATGTTTCAGCACCTATTTATTTATTTATCTACTTATGTATTTATGTATTTATTTATTTATTTTTTTCGGCATCTCTTTATTCAGCCTTTCAAGGTAATATCTCCCAAGCCACATAGCTAAAACTGGTCCATGGAAGTTTGGATCCTTTTAGAGTGAACAAGAATAATTTGCCTAATTTTATATTTGGCCTTTAGTATAATTGGGCCAAATATTTGCTGCTTGGGCATCATTCAGGGAAAGTAAAGAGCCCTTTAGGGAAGTTTTTCAAAGTGCCATTTAAGGAAAATTTAACATGGAACGCGTTTTTATGAAATGAGTCAAATGTGTGCATTTGGATTTTTAAGGAAGCTTTCCCATCATCATGCAATAATCCTGCAGAACTTCCACCACTCGGTAACCATGAACAAAAACTGTGTTTAACAATCCCCTAACCGACGCCTATCTCTAGCTTCCCAGTCGAATTTAGTCTTGTAGTTTTCATTCTTGCCAGTTTATTGGTGTTAATTAGAGTCTTCACTGGTGAGGGCAAGTGGTGCTGTGCCAGGGAAGAACACAGGCTGGGAAATCACTTGAATTTCAGATTTAATTATGGGCAGTATGATGACAGGCTAGTCACTTAGCAACTCTGAGCTTCATTTACTTATGGGCGTGGTTTAACCTGTTACTGACAAAGAACATTTTCCAGTCATTGTTGGCCTTTGCTTCTTGAGTTTATTTAAATACCACCATCGACATGAATATCACTTTGGTTTTGTGTTCCAGGTATACACATGGTTGGTGTATACCATCAGTCCGTAGAGCAGTGTTAATTTGCATATCCGAATATATTTCCTGGTTGCTAGTTGCTTAGCTGGTTCTTAAAAGAGTCACTAAGGAAAAGTATCATTTCAAAACAAATTGACAAGCACCAGATAATCCCACTTAAACTCTGAAACCGAGCACAAACTTAAATTCATTCTTTTTATTGTTGGTAGCTTAGAACATTTTGTTCCTTTTTGTCTACTACATAAATCTTTTCTCAGGTGAATTATATATTAATGACATAAAAATATTTGAACTCTGATGACATTAGAGCAATTTAAAGTAGACTTTGACTACCGTGTAGAACACTGAGGTTTTTTTTTTTTTTTTTTTGGCATATGACTCTGGTGTAAGCCATACTAACAGAAGAGAAAATTGCTGATGCTAGGACCCACCACTGCTTGTCATCCCCCTGCTCCCCCCCATTTCCTGTTTATTATTGATTGGCTGGTTGTGATATCAGGGCTTGAACCCAATGCTTCACACTTGCTTCTGAGACAAGTGATTTGTAATTGAACTAAACTCCGAACATATTTTTTTTATGTTTTTAAAGTTATTTAATTGAATTGTTTTGAAACCATTATAAAAATAACATGCTCAGTTACCTTAAAGCATTAGAGAATCGAGAGAAACAGAAAGGTCAACTATTCTTCCACTGCATAGAAATTAGAATAAGGGTCTGGTTAAGTCAACTGAAGAGCAACCAAGTGACTAAATATACAAATACCAAATACATGTCTCTGGTTCACAACCCAGCAGCATAGCAGGAGTGAGCAATGGACTTTAAAAAGCAGAATACAGCTCACTCAGGATGATCCTTTCCAGGTCCCACCATTTACCTACAAATTTCATGATTTCCTTATTTTTCACTGCTGAGTAATATTCCATGGTGTAGATGTACCACAATTTCTGCATCCATTCTTCAGTTGAGAGGCATCTGGGCTGTTTCCAGCTTCTGGCAATTACAAATAAGGCTGCTACAAACATGGTTGAGCAAATGTCCCTTTTGTGTACTTGAGCCTCTTTTGGATATATGCCTAGGAGTGGTATGGCTGGGTCTTGAGCAAGTGCTATTCCTAGTTGTCTGAGAAAGTGCCAGATTGCTTTCCAGAGTGGTTGTACAAGTTTACATTCCCATCAGCAGTGGAGGAGGGTTCCCCTTTCTCCACAATCTCTCCAGCATGTGTTGTCACTTGAGTTTTTCATCTTGGCCATTCTGATGGGTGTAAGGTGATATCTCAGGGTCGTTTTGATTTGCATTTCCCTAATGGCTAATGACGTTGAGCATTTCTTTAAGTGTTTCTCTGCCATTCGATATTCCTCTACGGAGAATTCTCTGTTTAGCTCTGTTCCCCATTTTTTAATTGGATTACTTGGTTTGCTGCTTTTCATCTTCTTTAGTTCTTTATATATACTGGATATTAGCCCTCTGTCAGATAAAGGGTTGGTGAAGATTCTTTCCCAATCTATAGTCAGTCATTTTGTTTTGATGATGGTATCCTTTGCTTTACAGAAGCTTTTCAGTTTCATGAGGTCCCATTTATTGATTGTTGCTCTTAGAGCCTGTGCTGTTGATGTTCTGTTCAGGAAGTTTTCTCCTGTACCAGTGAGTTCTAGGGTCTTCCCCACTTTCTGTATGACACACACGGTATATACTCATTCATATAGACATATAATATAGGATAAACCTACTAAAATATGTACATGTAAAGAAACTAATCATGAGGGAGGACTCTGACTAAAATGCTCAATCCCGGTCCCAAAAGGCAAAGAGGATGGACACCAGAAGAAGAAGAAAACAGGAAACAAGTTAGGAACCTGCCACAGAGGGCCTCTGAAAGGCTCTGCCCTGCAGACTATCAAAGCAGACGATGAGACTTATGGCCAGCTGTTGGGCAGAGTACATGGAATCTTATGTAAGAAGTGGGAAATAGTAAGATCTGGAGAGGATAGGAACTCCACAAGGACAGCAACAGAACAAGAAAATTTGAACACAGGAGTCTTCTCAGAGACTCATACTCCAACAAGTACCGTGCGTGGAGATAACCTAGAACCCCTGCACAGATGTAGCTCATGGCAGTTTAGTGTCCAAGTGGGTTCCATAGTAATGGGAAGAGGGACTGCCTCTTACATAATCTGATTGGCCTGCTCTTTGATCACCTTCCCCTGAGGGGGGAGCAGCCTTACCAGGCCACAGAAGATGACAATGCAGCCACTCCTGATGAGACCTGATAGACTAAGATCAGAAGGAAGGAGAGGAGGACCTCCCCTATCAGTGGACTTGGGGAGGGGCATGCGTGAAGAAGGGGAAGGAAGGTAGGATTAGTAGTGGAGGAGGGAGGGGCTTATGGGGGGATACAAAGTGAATAAAGTGTAATTAATAAAAGTAAAAAAAAAAAAAGCAGAATACAAACTATTGTCACCTTAGTGACATCAGTGAGAGAGGGGATTGAGTGAGAGTGTCAAGCCAGGTTATTTTCAGTGAGGAGATAAGAGAAACAGCTTTAGATTTTTTTCCTCCAGATTTTCTTGTTTTCTGAACAGGATCCTCCTCCTGTGAGCAGAAACCATCACAGGACCCAGCCCTGATGTACATTGTCAGGAGAGCAGGAAGTACTCACATGGATGGTTTGGGCTCCTCTGCTCCCCTCTCGGTGGGCTTCTTCCAGGTCCCTCTCCAGTCTCATCTCCTTCTTCAGGTCACTCAACTCCTGGGTAACCTTTTTAACATTCCTGAGCAGCCGATGGTTCTCAGTTAACAGTTTGTGGTTTTCCTTCTTGTATTTCTTTCTTTTAGTGGACTTTTCTCCCTTTTCAACAATACCACAACCTATGCACTGTCCTGTATTTTCCCAAGCTGCTACTCCTTGGGCTTTGGATACTGGATACTGCCTATTATTTTTCATCTCTGCCTGGAAGGCAAAAGCAGGAAATCTTCTTGGTTTGTCTATGATATGTGAAATCAGGTCCCTTTATACCTCCCTCTCTCCTAGGGGTCTGAGGACTCTGACGCTGCCCTGGCAGAAAAGGAAACCCTTTTGGCCAAGCTGCACTCGGAAAACCTCACAAAGAACACTGAGAACCATCAGCTGCTCAGGAATGTTAAAAAGGTTACCCAGGAGTTGAGTGACCTGAAGAAGGAGAAGCTGAGACTGGAGAGAGACCTGGAAGAAGCCCACCGAGAGGGGAGCAGAGGAGCCCAAACCATCCATGTGAGTACTTCCTGCTGTCCTGACACAATGGGTGGTACATCAAGGCTGGGTCCTGTGATGGTTTCTGCTCACAGGAGGAGGATGCTGTACAGAAAAGTTAAGAAATTCTGAAAAAAAAAAAAGAAAAAATTCTAAAGTTGTTTTTCTCATCTCAGTGGAAATGAACCGGGTCACTCGCTGATGTCATTAAGTTGACAATAGTTTGTATCCTGCTTTTTAGAGTCCATTGCTCATTCCTGCTATGCTGCTGGGTTGTGAATATTCTTCATAGAAATATATTGAGTATCCATGTATTTAGTTACTTAGTTACTCTTCAGTTCACTTAACTAGACTGTTATTACAAAGCACTGGGTATTTTTACCCTGTAACTTAGCTGTTGGTGTGCTGTTAAGAAACTGTTATTTCTTATATCTCTTATATCTCTTTCTCCTTACTCCACCCAATTCCCTTCCAACATCCCAACACCAGGTAGAGAGAAAGGGTTAGTGGGAGAGGGGGCGTAGTTCTCTTAGCTGCCTCCTGCTGGTTAGGATCATCAGGTTTCTTGCAACCAGTCCAATCCTTGTTTCAGGAGATCTCCAACTTCTTGTCTCACTGCATCAACAGCAACCAGTAATCTAAGTAGGGAAGCAGTAGCAGCCTTGTTATTTCTCAGGGCCTGTCCACACTTTCTGGGCATTGGCATTTATTCTCTCTCCTAAGTCCTCAGTCTTAAACTATCTGTATCTGGCAAAGAGCTCCTCTCAGAGCCCACATGAGGCAAATAGTTTGCTACTGTAGACTATCTGAATCAGATCTACACCTCACACCTGGAATTAAAACAAAAACATGCTTATATCCACAACACCTAGATGGCAGCAAACACTCCTGTGTGTGAGTATTTCCACTGCCTCTTTTCTGACAGAGGTTTAATTGCTGAGTCAAAGCCTACCGATTTTAAGACTAGTTTATAGACATCAAACAGTTCTCCAGACAAATTGTGTTGTGTTTTAAGACTATGCTTTATTCCACACTGGGTATTAACATTTAAAAATTCTTCCTAAATTTGGTACACTATTCCAATTCTGACAAACTCGAGTACTCAGTGTGCTTTAATTGAATCCCTCCTGAGAGTCAGCTTCACATGCGCAGCCTTGCTTCATCAGGCAGGACGGAGTCCCAGTTCGAGTGATTATGGATTCTGTGTTGAGTCACTCTACAGAGTCTGCACTGGGTAGTAACCAGAGATAAAGCTCAGAGGAGAGCCCACAGTTGCCACTGGCTGCTGGCAGGGATGCCAAGATTCACAGTTGCCATGCCCATGTCAACACTGAGGGAAGTGAAGTACAAATGTTTACATGTTGTAGTAAACATTTCAACAAATGTTCAGAGAAAATAATGGAGACTTACTTATACTTGAGTGAAGCAACTCTTTCTTGTCATTATTACTTTCAGCCCCAGTACACCTAACTTCTGTCTAGTCACAGGCTCATCACTTCCCTGTGGTTTTGGATCACTCATATTGTCTAGGCACCTTCCATGTTGTTTAGGACAAAGAATGGCCATGGTGAATGCCATACTCTTACTGATAGTTTTCACCTGAGTCCTTAGTAATTTCCTCCCTGGGTTGGACATTTTGCCTGTTTAAGTAATGTCGCAGTGAATGTCTGAGTATGCAGACATTTTCTAACTAAATACCTAGGATAAACTTTGAGGAATGACGGTACTAGATCACACAGTGCAAACATTTTATGTTAGTTAATTGTGTTTCCAGGTTGTCATTAGTCCAGAGAGGTGTCCCATTGTGTGCTGCCACTAGAAATATTGCAATAGGCTGGTTTATTTTATTCTGTTTCCTATATTTTAGAAGTTCATGGGAATGACTGGTGTGATTTCTAAAGCATTTGCTTTTCTGTTGATTGCAGAAAAGGGAGGGCACATCATGTAATGTGCTGCTGTGCTCCCATCAGTCCAGCCAAACATTGAGGTTCTGAGACTCCCCTCTTGGGTCATTCTGTTGGCAGGAGTGTGTATGTATATGTACATGCATGCCATCTTTGGCGTCCTCCTTAAAAATCATATGTTTTGAGGTTGGAGCAGCTGCCTAGAGAAAACAGTGTGTTGCAAGGCTGTGGGAAGACCAAAACAACAGCTGTGCCCCTAAATGCTTACCTTGAGTGAGCTGGCTTGGGACACACAGCTTCCTGACATCTCTTTGTGACTGTTTTTATACATTGTTCTGTACATGTTTCTAACAGAGTGGTCTGGGAAGTTTCATTATTTTTGCTAACATATTTCAACCCATTGCCATCTCTACTTAACACTTGGTTATAGTCTAGGAGTCTATCTGTATCTCTCTCAAGAGGATGTTTTACACCACATCACAGAGGTACAGTCTGGGAAGATGTGCTGAGGTAGTAATTTTGCTTCATGTTGCTAGGATGAAAACACAGGCGGAAACATAGCCATGCATATCTTATCAGCTTGTTATTGTTAAGTAGGTTCTTTAATTATCTAGAATGCTTCCCACTCGATAGCTGCTGCTGGTATTGCTTTGGATTGACAGAGACAATACCCTAGACCTCTCTGTGGCTTTTATTTTTGCTGTCAAAAGGAAGAGAAATGCACTCTGAATTCAGCATCATTGATTGCCTTAGTAAGCCCTCTACTAGGCATGGACACACTGGTAGAACAGAGATAGGAACACAGGAAGGAAGTGACTTGCAGATTATAGGAGGCTTCTAAGGAAAATGGGTGGTCACATTTATACGCTGTGAGGATAGATAAGCACTCTACCAACTGAGCCCCATCAGTAACCCCATGGTATTTGCAGTTTTTGAGTCTTTTTTTTTTTTTTTTTAGCATAATGCTTTTTTTTGTTCCATTCATTTCCTTGAAAATATCAGTTTCATTTTTCTCTAAAGCTTCATAGAATTAGGTATGTTTTAGTTGCTGTGATAAAATACCAGGATCAAAATCAACTTAGAGGAGAAAGGGGTTATTTTAGAGTCCATTGTTGCAGGAAAGGCATGGCAGCAGTTCAGCAAAACATGATGGCAGGAGCAGGAAGCTGGCTGGTGTCATTTTCCATCTATACATAAGAAGCAAAGAAAGAGAGCAGGAAGTAGAAAAATGCTATAAAACTTCAAAACCACCCCTAGTGATGTACTTCTTCCAGGAAGGCTCCACCTCCTAAAGGTTCCATAACCTTCCCCCAGAGTCCTACCAAACAGAGCCTCCAGCTGGTGGACCAAGTGATCAAATACATGGGACATTTCTCAGCCCCCAAAGAATGAATATAATGCCAGGTTTTCTTTATCTGTTTAGTTGAAGGACAGACATCCAGGCTGGTTCTGTTTCCTGAATGCTCTGAATGGTACAACACTAAACATGGATGTGCAAGCTTCTTTGTGCTATGTTGTCTTTGAGTCCTTTGGATGCGTACTTAAGAGTGGTATAGCTGGGTCTTACAGTAGTTTTGTTTTCAGTTTTTTGAGGATCATCCATACTGATGTTCATAGTGGCTGCACAAGTTCACATTCTCACAGCAGGGAATATGGTATTTCTTTCCCTGTATCCTCACCAGCAGTTGTTATGTGGATTTTTGTTTGTTTGTTCCTTTGTTTTTTTATGATAGCCATTATGATTAGGGGGCAGTGAGTTCTCTAAGCAGTATTAATTTGCATTTCCCTGGTGACTAAGAACACTGGACACTTGTTAAAAAACTTATTGACTGTGATATTTCTTCTTTTGAGAACCCCTTTATTGAGTGGATGCTTTGGCTTTGGCACTTAATTTTCGCAGTTCTTTGGTGCCCTAGATATTCATGTCCATTCAGCCCTCACTGTGAGGACACTCACATCAGTGTTAGATCTCTCCTGTATATGCTCAGGTTTTGCTGTGTTCGGCAGACAAGAAAAAGATGTAAAGAAAAATCTTCAAACCCTAGGCTTTGTTCTCTGTCTACATTTAGTTCAGTCTTCAAATCATCTTTGCTAATAGAAACTGATGTCAGGAGTGATGAACGTACCTGCCACTTGTCAAGTAGCTGGCTTCTTAATATGTACCACAACCACATGTTTGGGCCCAAAGAACATTATTCTCATTTACAGATCAACTGAGCCTCGTAATTTAAATGGCTTGGTCATGGTCACCTAGACAGTGACATACAGATTGCATGGATCTGGTCTCTAATTTCAGAAGTTTGCCTAAGATACTATGTTGTGATGCTGGCAAAGCAGCAGTAGAAAGGAATATGGTGCATTTGGCAGAAATAAAAATTTTTATAATTTCTGCTTTCTACAAAAAACAAACATACAAACAAAACCAGTCTATAGTGTTCTGATTATTTGAATCTTTAAAAAGTAATTTGTTCCTCTCAGTGCTTCTCAAATATGTGTGGTAGTTTATATTTATAAAGTTACACAATTAAATGAGCTTAGGATTAAAGGTAAAAGCATTGGGCTCTCAAAGAAAAAGGACTCAAAGAGCTCTCAAAGAGCGAGGACTTTGGAACCATAGCAAATATGGTAAGCATGTTGTGGTGTTCTTTGTGGTCCTGAAGGGGGGGGGACTTGAGGTTAGGCTGGCAGTTTCTGGCAGCCAGAGCAAAAAGGGAATTCAGGTACAGGGTCTCCAGTGTTTAGGAGAGGAACATTTTAAGATAAAAGGCCAGCTTTTTGGCACTGAGGCCCAATGGAAGAATCGTGCCTGGTGTGTTTTATAAAGAGAACTCAACAGTTACAGAGTCTTCAACAATAGTCCATTCAATCAAAGCAGGTCTGTGCAAGCTGAATCGATGCTGTCCAAGCCAGTGAGCTTGTAAGTATTGAGGTGTTCAGTTCCTGGGACTGGATCTAGCTGTTTCTCATTGTTCTATTCTGTTGGACAGGAGCTTGAAAATCAGTTGGAAATACTGCAGCCTTGTTTTTCGATGAGTCTCAACTTCAAGTCTGCAGAGAACTCATAGCAAAGAGACTTAGTTTGTGTGACATCCCTGAATTCTGATAACAAGCCAACTA